GCGGGGCTTGAACCCACGAACCGCGAGATCATGACCTAAGCGAAAGTTGGATGCTCAATCGACTAAGCCACCCAGGCGCCCCTAATTTGTTTTTTTCTTAAATCTTTGTTTTATTTTTTATATTTTATGTTTATAAAAATCTTTTAAAATCCTAATTTAAAAAAATTTTTAAGTTTTATTGTTTTTTGTTTGCTTTGCTCTACACTGTTTCTTGTGTTCCCTATCTTTATTTTACTTGAATCTAATTTTTGTTTTGCTGAAGAACAACCTACAGTAACTCTTTCAAATATGGCCTATGGATGAAAAAAGTTGTTTACCTTTTTATCCTCCAAGATTGGTTGAGAGAAATTCACTCCTTTCAGGCACACATTTTTATCATTTTTGAGAAACTTACATGGTCATAAAAGCACCACCATAATCAAGAGAGAGTATTTTCATCATCACAAATAGTTGCCTTGTTACTTTTTGTAGTCAGTTTCCTCCCCAAAAAGCTCCTGGCAACCACTGATCTGGGTTTTCTGTCCCTATGTATTTCACCTTTTACAGATGTCATATTAATGGAATCAAATAATGTATGGCCTTTTAAGTCTAAATTCTTTTACTTAGCATACGCTTTCGAGACTCATCGAAAGTATTGCATTTATGGAAACCAAAAGTATAGTTGATCATCAGTCGTCAGTGCTATTAATCCAATACTTGCAGTCATATGATCAGATTGTACTTCCTGGCTCCTTCCTAGTTGGGTGAGGCCGTGTTCTAGACAATGAGTTGTGAGTACATATCACTTCTGGGCTGGACCATTTAACTGACAAAGTGAGACCCATTGAACTTTTTCTTTTTTTCTTTTTTTAATGTCTTATTTATTTTTGAGAAAGGGAGACAGTGTGAGCAGGGGAGGGTCAGAGAAAGAGGGAAACACAGAATCTGAAGACAGGCTCCAGGCTCTGAGCTGTCAGCACAGAGCCCAACGCAGGGCTTGAACCCACCAACTGTGAGATCATGACCTGAGCCGAAGTCGGGCACTTAACTGACTGAGCCACCCAGGCGCCTCTGAACTTTCTTTTACTTTCTGCCACCATGATGGGCAACATTCTAGATGGTGGCTGCTCTGTTAGCCTGAGTCTTGGAGTGACTACAACCAGCAGAGCCCACTGCTGACCTGTGATAGGCACATAGCCAATACATAGGTAGCTTGAGCCAGAAAACACACCTTTGTGGTTTTAAGCCGTTGAGATTTGGGTGTGGTTTGCTATCAAAGCACAATCAGCCTATATTGATCCATACAGGAGGCTTGTATTTTTAAGCACTGGGAAATTTCCTCTTATTCCTGCTTTAATTATTTCCTTTTCTATCTTTTTCCTCCCTCTTTCACTTTCTTCTTTCTTTCTAGAACTATTAGGCAGGTGCTAGAAATTTTGAACGTATCCTCCATGACATGTACTTTCTTTGTCCTTTTTTAAAAAATACATTTATTTATTTTTGAGAGACAGAGCACAAGCAAGGGAGGGCTAAGAGAGAAGGAGACACAGAATCTGAAGCAGGCTCCAGGCTCTGAGCTGTCAGCACAGAGCCCAACACGGGGCTTGAACCCATAAACTGTGAGATCATGACCTGAGCCGAAGTTGGACACTTAACTGACTGAGCCACCCAGGCGCCCCTGTTCTTATAGAATTTTGAGGAGAAATTCTCACTTTAATCTTTTAGCTTACTACTCTTTTTAGCCGTATTCATTTTGCTAACAACTCAGCTTTTCAAAATCATATATTTTTTATATTTGATACATATAATATATATTTATTTTTATTTTCCAGCAAAAAACCCCCTCTATTTGCTTCTTTTCGCAAAGAAGCTAAAATGGGTTGTGCTTGATGAGTGCAGAATCTTCCACATTCTTTCTAGAGCTATTAATTATTTTTAAAGTCTTCCATTTGTTCTGTTAAATTTCTTGTTAGTTTCTTTCTTGTCCCTTACTTGTTAGTTCTCAGGTAGCTTTCTTCCAGAGGTCTGGCTTTCCTTAACTGTTTGCTGACTTTCGCTGGTCTGTAATACTCTGTGTTTGGGAATTCCTGTTTGCCTGATTGCTGATTTGACTATAATGGAGTGCTACCGATTTTTTGAGAAGAGACGGCTGTTCCGTAAGGTTCTATGTTCTTGTAATGTGCTGGGTGTGGAAGCTCTCTGTCTTTCATGGGGGTTGTTAGCTCTCCTGGAGCATGGCCCTGCATGTCTCTCTGTGCACATGGCAGTTGCTGCTCGCTACTCTGCAGGAAGGAAGGTGGGGCCCCTCAGTCTAGATTCTCTCAATGGTTTCCACAGTTTACCCAGTAAACTGTCCCTGAGACTTTCTCCCTCTAGCCAATGATGGCTTTTTGCACCCTCCAGATCTCACTCTTGGTAGTTCTCTGCTTCCTGCATTTTAAACTATGCTTTCCTCCAGTCTTGTTTTATTTTTTTCTCTCTAATACAATCTTTAGGAATTTATGGTGATGATTACATAAAGCAGGTTTGTGCATTGCATATGGCCTATGGGTTGCCAGTTTGCAACATTAGCCTTTTAGAGGTTCTGTCTTCCTAGGGAATTGATGTTTCCTTTTTCTTCCTTCCTTCCTTTCATCCTTCTTTCCTCCGTCCCTCCCTCCTTTTCTCTCTTTGTTTCTCTCTTTCTCTCTCTCTTTCTTTATTTCTTTCTTTCTTCTAAGTAGGATTCACCCCCAGCACAGAGCTCAACTCGGGGCTTGAACTCACTACTGTGAGATCAAGAACTGAGCCAAAATCAAGAGTCAGAAGCTCAACCAAGCCACCCAGGAGCCTCGATGTTTACTTTTTTATTTTTTTTAAATGTTTATTTATTTTTGAGAGACAGAGCGTGAGCAGGGGAAGGGCAGAGAGAGGGAGACACAGAATCCGAAGCTGTCAGCACAGAGCCCGACATGGGGCTCAAACTCACAAACCGTGAGATCATGACCTGAGCCGAAGTCGGCCGCTTAACTGAATGAGCCACCCAGGCGCCCCGATGTTTACTTTTTTAAATTATAAAAGTAAAGTATACATCCTCCCACACGGCTGTCTTTCCTGCTAAGAAACCAAAGAGAAATAAAGAGTACGCTCCAAAAAAAAAAAAAAAAGGTATACAAGTAATAATTGTTTAAGAAATTACAAAATACAGATAGAAGAAAAACATAAAGAAGAATCACCCCACCCAGAGATAACCAGTGTGAACACCATGCTTCACCTCCTGAAACACACACACACACACACACACACACACACACACACACAATTTCATTAGTATTTTTTTGAAATGGATCTCAAACGCCTGATAACTTTTCAAAAGTTGCTTTTTCACCCAAAAATATATCATGGGCATCTTTCCACGTCAATAATATTTGCTTCATTTACTATGTCGCGTTCTGTTACATTTGGGACCATAATATATTCACCAAATTCTCTCTTGTTAGACAATGTGGCCAGGCATTTAAGAGTTTACCCAGGACAAAAGTCTTCAGATGAAGAAAGGCAAGTCAAAGGGTGGCCTTTCAGACATCCACAACCAGTACTGGGAATGCTGGTTTGGGCAAAGGGGGAAGATCTCAAACTCACACCTGAAGCTGCCCGTCCTTTGGGCCTATCTGTCCTCGGAGACAACTGGGGAAGGAGGATACACAGCCACTTTGGTAGGAACCCTTGGTCAGTTTCTCTCTGTACTCCCACCTCTTCCGGAGGCCCCTGTGAGGAAGAGGGTGGGGCGGGGCCCTCAGTGCCCACCCAAATACTGAAGCGAAACTGATTTGAAAGGAGAAGCTGTGGAGGACTCTCAAGACCCTGCTGGAACTGGAGCGGGTGCTCTTGGCCAGGGGTCTCTTTCCCTCTCTTGCTGCCCCGTTAAACCCCATCTTCCCAACATGTCCTTTCCGCCAGGCTGGCTTTGACCCCCTGAAGCCTTGACAGCTTTCCAGAAGTGTCAACTATTAGGTTGAACCATTTGGATTTGCTATTTCTGTCAGTCCAAAGTTGCTGAGTATTGGCAATTTCTAGGTACTTCCGGTCTGCTTGGTTCCATTGCTTCAGTCTGTAGTATATTTCTTTAGTGCTCATTCTGTGCTAGGCACTGGGTAAGCGATTCATAATCATTTTTAACTGTCGCAACTTTCTGAGACATAGGAATTATTCCCTCTTTGAAAGAGAAGAAAACTATGGTTCAGAATCTCCCCCTTTTAGAATTGCTTGGGAATTCTTTAGTGGCTGGTTTCCCCACTAAATTTAAGATCTTAACAATAACGACAGTATTTTGAGTTGTGGTTAAAAGAGCTGGTGGCTCTACCTACTAATCTGATGCCTTTTTGGAAAGCGCCTGAACTTGACAGAGCCAGTTTCCACCTCTGTGGTTATGAGGTCTAGGTGAGAAGTGTTCTTGATCCTGTTTCTGCTTTAGAAAAAATGCCTTTGGTATTCTGAGACTCAGTTTTCACATCAATAAAATGGGGTCAATAACCACTACCCCCAGCAACATCAAGGAGAAGCTGTTAGGACACAGTTCCAGGCTCAGCCAAGCCAGCGGGGCCTGGGAGGGGGAAGGAGCCCCATCTCCACCCACCACGTGGAGCGCCTGCTCCGCCCGCAGCGCGACTCCCCGGAGCGTGGGGCGGGGTCGGTACAGCACCACTTGTCCAACGCCTCTCCAAGGTGACACTTGCAAGTGGCACCACCTGGCCGCGGCTTCCCTCAGCATCTCCGACAGCCCGGAAAGGGGGACGAGGGGGCAGCAAGAGGCGGGGCATCAAGGCGTGGCTTCCGGCAACCTTCCTCCCCGCCCCACCCCCCTGCTTTTTTGTCCTCCAAGATTCGGAAAGGTTCCCCAGCGCCTTTAAGAGGCCGACGCGGGCAGCCGATTGGCCGAGACGCGCCGGTGACGTCACGCCTGGGCCCGCGCCGAGTGGGCCCCGTGGGCCCGCCCCGCGCCCTCCCCCTCTAGCCCCGCCGCGCGCTCGCGGACAGTCCGCGCGGGCCGGGCCGGGCCGGCGCCCCGTCAGCTTCGCTCGTCCGCGTCGCCCCGAGCCCCGGGGGATGCCCCCGGCCGGCACCCCCCATGGCCGCCGACGTCTTCATGTGCTCCCCGCGCCGGCCCCGAAGTCGGGGCCGCCCGGTGCTGCTCAAGCCTCAGGTGCCTGAGGACGACGACGACTCGGACACGGATGAGCCGTCCCCGCCGCCCGCCTGCGCTTCGGCCACCCCGGCCCGGGCCCACGCGAGCGCCGCGCCGCCGCCGCCCAGGGCCGGGCCTGGCCGCGAGGAGCCTCCGCGCCGCCAGCAGATCATCCACAGCGGCCACTTCATGGTGTCGTCGCCGCACCGCGAGCACCCGCCCAAGAAGGGCTACGATTTCGACACGGTCAACAAGCAGACGTGCCAGACCTACAGCTTCGGCAAGACGAGCTCCTGCCACCTGTCCATCGACGCGTCGCTCACCAAACTCTTCGAGTGCATGACCCTGGCCTACAGGTAGGGACCCGGCGGCGGCCCCGGGCCGGCCCCACCTCTCGAGTGGAGCTTCCCACTTTGACACAACCAGCGCGGAGGGCTCGGCCGACTGAGACCCCTGGGCTGCACGCATTCCCATCGGCTCTTGTCCCCTTGGGAGTGTTTATGGGTCTGGGATCCTCGGTGGCAGCGAGAGGGGTCGGTGTCCTGGCCTCTTCCCCTGCCGGCAGTGCTTGGGTTCTTCCGGCTTCACGTTCCCCATCCAGGCCCTCCCTCCCCTCCAGTGTCCCGAGGCCACCGATTTTGGACACGAAAGAGATGTAAATACCGGCTGCACCTTGTGTTGCTCGACCCGCCACCCCTGCCCCCCAGATGCTTTGTGTGCTCCCGGCAGTATACAGCGGTGGTTAGAAGCACCTGTCCAGGGGCGGCCTAAGTGCTGGTTCCAGTAGGTAATGGTTGTGTAAAATCTCGGAGCCTGTTTCCTCCTTTATGAAGAGGGGATGACAGTAGTATCAGCCTCCATTGGCTATTTTGGGGATGGGACGAGGTAGGTAGTGCTTTTATCCCACTGCCTGACACAAAATTAGGTGCTCCTTAAATGTTAGCCACTTACTGTCCCAGCAGAGGGAGGGAGGCGGGGTCTTCTCACATCCACCTTACTGGGACACCCTCTCCCACCTTAGCGGCCAGCCTGGGTGCCTCCTAGGTAGACTTTTGGAACCCCAGCTGTTGGAGGTGCAGTCCGCCCACCTGGCAAGTTGGGAGGTTCTGTGGTCAGCCCTGAAACTTTATATGGAGATGGCATTGTTGAGGGCGGGCATCCCAGGCACCGTCCTGACAAGCGGACCCAGCTCTGGGCAGACATCCCTTTTTCTAAGTCATAGATCTACCTGGCCCTTGTGAGAGAAACTGTCTTTCCACTCTCTCGTCCTTCTTTGGTGTGCACATTAGATATTTGTGCCCAGCAGCTTCTGCCTCAGCAACAGAACTTCTCTGGGCCGGCTGCAGTGCAGAGCGGTCAAGTCCTGCACCAGGCTCATGGTAGGATCTCTGCTGAGTGGGGGTGATTGCATTAGTAGCTGGACTGGCTTGGGCCGTCTTAGGTCTGCTCTGCAGGCGGCACGGGAAACGTTTCCTTGTAGGCTCCAGAAACAGCATGAAGAAAAGTAGGTACATGCCCCCACCCCCCACTCCTTTTTTTGTTTTTGTTTTTGTTTTTGTTTTTTTTGGAGCGCCTTTAAACCCAGATACATTCAAGTTAAAACATTACCCATTTACCTAAAGTTAAAACATGGCTCCGGGTGGCATTTTCCCCCACTGGAATAAATGATTAGTCAACTTGTTCTTTTGTTATGTTCCTGAAACAACCCCCCCCCACCCCCACCCCATTTCCTCTCTTGAAGGTTTCCCTGGTGGTTTGCTGGCCACATGGCTGCAGTACGTTACCCATGGCTCCCCTCCCATCCCCCTTGCGTGGCATATTGGTCAGGCTCTGCTCCGATTCTCTGGTCTTGCCAGTTTGAGCTGGCACTGAGCCTGTGAAGATGTTCTTTTTTTTTTTGAAATGGAATTGAGATTGCAGCCTTCTGCCCTCTTTTTTAGCCCTGCTTACTCAGTCTCAAAATTTGAGCGCTTCATTGGAATCAAACCCACCTAGATTGTAGCAGACACCACGAGAGCCTTTTCAAAGAAACCTATAGGTGAAAGACAGGACTGTGTTTTATTAAGAGAACTTAATCCTTTTCTTTATTTTAATATAAACTTATTCATGTACAGGGAGAGAAGGGATGATTATGCAGCAGGAGGCATGGGGTAGAAAGATCTCACCTAAGCTCTGCTAGAGGAAAAATAAACCCGACTTCCCTATGCCCTCAGTTTGGATAACCTACAGGCTTATTATTAAATAACACCAAAGAATTTTAGTAATGGCATTCCCCCCCTCCACTTCTTTCAAAAATATTTTGGCAACTAGCCATTGCTCAGTTAAGTTTCTTGATTGCCAAAGGCACCCTTACCTTGCTCTTCAAGACCTCCAGCCCCGCTGGCTTTGTTGCTTTGCTGTAGTTCCCTGTGCTCAAGTCCTGCCACTGCAGACCCCCAGTGGGTATCTGCCTAGTAATTTCTCATGAAGATACTCTTTGTCTCTCCGTGTGAGGCTGGTTTGATTGTCCCTGAGTTCAGTGGGCCGTGGGGAGCCGTGGTACAGATTGGCAGAGAAATGACTCAAAACCAGTTGTCTGGGCTGTAGCCTCTGGCACAGAAAGCCACAGAACAGAAGTGAGTTTCTGACCTCAGCTGTCCTGTTCTGACCACTAGCTGGCTTTCAGAGAAGGAGGGTTGAGATGGGGGCAGGGAGGGAAGCACACTGATCTCACTGGTGGTCTCACTTCCCTTTCCGCGGGGTTCGAGCCCTCACCACTGTTTTCCACGTTTTCTCCTTCTCCTTGGGCCTAGAGGAAGGACACGGCAGGGCCTCCTCTCCTGCAAGACTGTTTCTGGCCTAAGCTCTTTCTAACCTCAGCTTCCTGTCTGTTCCCTGGCCTCTTGATTCTAGCTGCCTAACTCTCCCTGGTACACTCTGTGCTGGCTTTTTTTTTTTTTGGTTTCCTGTTAACTGCTGTCTCCCAGCTGTTTCCAGATGAGGTTCAACAGCTCTTTGGGGGAGGAACTAAATGCTGGGGAAGCTGTGGTTATTTTTTCCCCAGTCCTGTGAAGTGGTCCAGGAATTCTGAATATAATCTGTTCCTGAACATGCAAAGTCTTGAACCCTTAAAAAGTCTTTGGCAAGATTGACTCTGGATGGAAAGATAGGGGGTTTGAGGAGCGGGGACTGTGTGTGAGCGTGCCCAGTGACCTGCCTTAGAATCCATGTCCTTCCCACTCTGTGACGTGAGCCCTGTAGCAAAGGCGTCCTACAGTGTGTGCTCAGTTACTGGGCCATTTTGGAGGGGAAGAAGTTGTCTTTCCCCAAAGCAAGCTTAGGTGATAGATGATGGGGAAAAAAAGCCCATGGTTTACCTTTATCAAGGCCTTCCTGTCTGCCACTGTAAACTGGGAGGGATAAAACTCTCTTGCGGGGTGGATGTGTGGATGAACTGAGATAATGTCTGTGAATGTGTCCAGTAAGAAACAAGAAGAGACTTCACAGGCTGGATCCGATTCTGTGTCATCAGGTTCCTCCTCTGTAAACTGAAGGAAATAACGTATCTGAGTGGGGCATTTTAGTGTGGCTTCGAAATGCTTGCTTGACAAATGCTAAATAGACGTATTCTTGCTTTGCCCGTGCTTTCCACGGTCCACAATGGAGCTATGGACTCTAGAACATAGTTCATGGTTCTTGTCCTCTTAGCATTTTAAGGAATGCCACACATGTAACTCACACACAGATTCTGAGCACATCTAGTAGATAGCTTTTTGTGGTTGGTTTTGGTTTCACTTCTTTTCCTTTTTATGTAACTCTTTATTGGGGAGCCTAGGTGTGAATGTTTCCGGAGGGTTAGAGGTGTTCTCTTTATGTATTTAGGGATAAGCAGTAGCTTTCTGGACAATGGGTTTCTGCTTAAGTGGATATCTGAAGAGACCTTTAATTTGGACTTGTAAGATAGCCTTGGGATACAAATTTCTAAAATGTACCCCTGTATAAGTATACTCTATAGGAACTCTCTGTTCCTAACCCAGGGTGGGAATCTCGGCCAGACTTAAGGAGTAGCACGGTTTAAAGGTTTAGAGCACAGTGAGCTCAAAGTTTTAAGCTTTCAGTAGAGGAACTTTCTAAAGCTAGGTGTGGTAACTAGTTGTAAATGAGCACCATTTACACAAATGACTCAGTTTACTACTCTGCAACCATGCCAAAGATAATAAACAGGTTTCCTTCTTTTGCATTTTTTTTGCAGTTTTTGAGCATTATATAGTGTGCACTGAGGGGCGTGCACTGAGGTGGGAATGAGGGTTACAGAGATGACAAAGGCAGTGTCTGTCCTTGAGGAGCTCAGGAACTAGGGGTGGGGGGTAGATAAACAGACAGTGGTAGAATAATTAGCAAGGGCTGCAACAAAAATTGTGAACCAGCTCTGATGGCAGCACTGAGATTGAGAGTTTATATAATCGCTGTCAGTGTGGATAGTTTCCCCTGACATCAGGGTTAATATTTATCTCCCCTTCCCCAAGTTAACTGTCAACAGTTATGGACCATATTCCCCAGCAGGAAGCCCCAGTAATTCTTTTCTCTGCCTTGTTCCCTTAGTGGTCTAGGAGCAGATTTCCTTTTCATGTCGAGGCTGATTGGCTAATTGCCATCCTGATGGAAGGGCAAAGAAGGGCGATAAAATTGGGAAAAGTCTAGGAAACAAGGTTTGGGGTTGTTTGCTAGGGTGGAAGAAGAGACAAGAATTCACACTAACTGGGGCGCCTGGGTGGCTCAATCGGTTAAGTGCCTGACTTTGGCTCAGGTCACGATCTCATGGTTAATGGGTTCGAGCCCCGCGTCGGTCTCTGTGCTGACAGCCAGCTCAGAGCCTGGAACCTGTTTCAGATTCTGTGTCTCCCTCTTTCTCTGACCCTCCCCTGCTCACACTGTCTCTCTCTCTCTCTCTCTCTCTCTCTCTCTCGCTCGTTCAGAAATAAAGAAACATTAAAAAAAAAAAAAAAGAATTCACAGTAACTGAGCGCTGCTGTGTCCTGGATTCCCTTTACATGATCTTACGCAGCTCTTACAATAGCCTTCTTCGGTGGGTGGTGGTGGAATCCTCATTTTTCATATTAAAAAAATAATCCCCCACCCCAGGTTTAGGAGTTAATTGGCCCTGTTGCTGAGGTAAGGCAGCTTGTCCAGGCCAGTGACTCTGGAGCTGAAAAGTTGCCTCCCGCATCTGTTCACAAAAGCCTGTGGTTCTGTTAGGAGGTAAAAGTGCCAGTCCTTCTAAAGTAAGGCCTGCGGAGGGGCACCTGGGTGGCTCAGCTGGTTAAGCGTCTGACTTCGGCTCAGGTCTTGATCTCACAGTTTGGGGGTTCAAGCCCCT